TGGAGGGCACGAGCTGCATCGCGGGCGTGCTGGTGCCCGCCAAGGACGAGCCGGGGCGGCAGGAGAAGATGAGCATCTACCAGGCCATGTGGAAGGGCGTCCTGCGGCCGGGCACGGCCCTGGTGCTGCTGGAGGCGCAGGCGGCCACCGGCTTCGTCATCGACCCCGTGCGCAACCAGAGGCTGTCCGTGGAGGAGGCGGTGGCCGCGGGCGTGGTGGGCAGCGAGATCCAGGACAAGCTGCTGTCGGCCGAGCGCGCCGTCACGGGCTACACCGACCCCTACACCGGGGAGCAGATCTCCCTCTTCCAGGCCATGAAGAAGGACCTCATCGTCAGGGACCACGGCATCCGCCTGCTGGAGGCCCAGATCGCCACGGGCGGCGTCATCGACCCCGTGCACAGCCACCGCGTGCCCGTGGAGGTGGCCTACCAGCGCGGCTACTTCGACGAGGAGATGAACCGCGTCCTGGCGGACCCGAGCGACGACACCAAGGGCTTCTTCGACCCCAACACGCACGAGAACCTCACCTACATGCAGCTGCTCCAGAGGGCCACTCTTGACCCAGAGACTGGCCTCTTATTTCTTTCCCTCTTTTAAGTGTGAATGGACTTTGTAATGTTCCTGTGTCCACTCTCAAGAATATCTTACAGTATCTTTCCTCATTTTCTCCTTTCCAACCTTTTTTTCCATTCTGTCCGACTTACTTGTATTCCTTTGTTGACATTCCAGTTTTTTCTGTACTCGGCCTCGTTTCCCGTGTGTCCCCATGTGCACTGAAAGAAGGACAGGCTCTTTCATGATGATCTTGACTCCTCCTGGTATTCTCACTTGTCAGTTTTCGATTCATTTCTATTTCACTGAAATTGGCTCCTGAGAATCCTTGATAAACTCTGCTTTGGTTTGTGAAAGTTAATAACGGAAACCTAAACTAAACTTCACGTTGGGAAAGCCTGTAGGGGGAGCTCTGAAGCCCTACCACTCATGGCCGATTACTCCAGGGTGAAGGGACTGTACCTTGCATTCCTGGATCAGGAAGTTTCCTACTACTTTACTGTTCTTGCCGGAGGAAGGAAGATTTTCTTCTTGCCCAGCAGCAAGCCCAGGCAATGGAAAATGCCGCAGCTCAGCCATCGAGGAGCTGTCATCACCCTGAACTCTGACACTCCTCCAATGGACTTTCAATTAGAACAGCCCCTTCCGGCTCCCCCTTTTTCTCTATAAAAGCAGCTCCTCTTTTGTTCTCTGGATGCACCAGTAGGTTCACCTTAGTTTGTATGTCCTGATTTGCAGTTTTTTTGCTATTCTCAAATAAAGTCATTTTGCTGGTATAATAACTGGCTATTTTATTTTATTTTAAAATTGACAATTTAGAATGAAGAACTCTTTCTTTTTGCACCTTGGCATATCTTAAGTGTGTAATATCAATATGTTGCATTCATGGTTTTATTAAATGCATTCTTTGCAATTACAAAATAATTCTCCTGTTTGTGGACTAAGTCATTTTCCATCATTTCCTGTCTATAGTTCAGTGGCTTATGGCTCTGAACAGTACATCCCACTGCTGTCCTCAGTGAAGGCACAGGCTGGTTCTGTCTCTTGGTTCAGATCTTCCCGGTAGGTATGATGTCTCATGTTTTTGGAGCTATGGCTTTTACAATTTACAAAAAAATGTTTTTGTATAAACGAAGCTATCTTCTTTGATTTCCGAGTTTTGAAGGTTCATCCACAAAACTGGATATCCTCATTGTAGATACAGGAGATTAAACAAGAAAAATGAGTATTGAAAATTTCAGGTGACAGAGCCCTATCTCAGAATACTCTGCATATGCTGTAGTTAGGTCTTGCTCAAAGGCTCCTGGAAGAGCCTAGAACTTCAGTCATTAATTGAAGAGTGTCTAGTTGGGGTGGGTGACAGAGGGCCAGGCCTCGCTGGTCCCCCCTTTACTACACAGAGAGTTCTAAGCAGGTGAGTCACACTTTCACAGGATCACCTGCTGCTTGGTGGAAGGTTCGAGCACAAGGAGCAGGCTGCTGCAGTGGTCCGGGGGAGCAATGGTCCCTGGTCGTAAAATGATGGCAGCAGTGGAGATGATGAAAGGGATCAGATGCCAGCTAAGCCAAATGCTGGGAAGAAGAGAGGTGTCCCAAGCGCCTCAGAAACCAGTGGGGCTGAAGGCCATTGAATGGAGATGGAGGAGCAGGAATTCAGGGTTGGAGTTGTCGACCTTAAAAATAAAATAGCCAGTTATTTTACCAGCAAAATGGGTTTATTCAGGAATAGCAAAGAATTGCAATTCTGGACAAGCAAGCTATGGTAAAACCATGGGCAAGTCTGGCAAACACAGGCGAGGAAGGTTACTTTACCGAGAAAAAGGAAGGAGTTAGGAGCTGCTGAGATGAGCAAAAGTCTATTGAAGGAGGGCAGGAGTGTGGGGTTATGACAGCTCTTCACTGGCTCTTCACTGGCTGAGCCGTGGCTCCCATTGGCTGGGCTGTTGCTGGGCGAGGAGAAAGTCTTCCTCCTGTTGGGGTGGTAACGTAGGCGTCTCCTGTTGGAAAATGCAAAGTACACTTCCTGTTGGGGTCTGCAAAGGAAGAGTGGTAGGGGTGAGAGCTACCCCTCCTGGCCTCCCAACTCCATTTTAAATGAGGCTCATTTTATTCATATAAACTCTGTGAGCAGGCACAAGCATCCACTACTTTTCTCTCTAGATGGAGAAAGTAAAGGGTGGGTGGGTAATCGGCAGGTGTGAGTGGGAGGAGACGTGGGAAGGTAGTGGGGGTTGGGGGTAAAGGGGGATTTTAGATAAGAATTCTAGAGCGTGCCTTGCTGATGTGGCTAGAGGGTGTGGTGAAGGGGGCCTCCTGGAGGGAGAGGGGGCTGCATGTGAGTGGGGGTGCGGCTCCCTCCTGATGGCTCCACTTTCCAGGGGAGCCATCGGCAGAAAGAGAGAAGATAGGAAATCGCTATCCTGGAAAGTGGTAAGGTGAGCATAGGGACGTGAAAGGGAACACAGAATTGCGCACCCGTGGGAGGTTTGTGGCATGAATTAAAGTCAACTGGTCGGCCTGTTTGTGTATTTTTCTGTTACGTTCCGTGACCCTCCCACGTGTTCCTTGTCGGAGGGGGGACGCGCCAGGAGAGCTCACCTCCCAGATGCCTGTCCCAGGCCTTCACTCAGGCCCTCGGGCAGCACCCTCGGGCGGAACGGGCTGCCCCAGGCCCCGCTCCACGCTGGGGCCACCCCAGGGCGGAAGCCCGGAGACTGAACCGCGGTCCGGGGTGGGTTTCGGGATGTGTGTGCGGCAGGAGCCGGTCGGGCAGCGGTGCGGGAAGAACGCGAGGCTCCAAGAGCCGGGCAGGGGCGGTTCCCCGAGACCCCTGGCCCGGTCCGCGCAGGCCGCCGCGCCCCCGGGGAGGTTCCGATGGACTCGGCTCTAGGCCGGCGCCGAACCCCCTGGGGCCGGGTCACTGGGCTCAGGCTGGTCCCTGGGCCTCCTGCCGAGAGCGGCCGCAGCCGGGAGAAGCCGGGGGCCCGGGACGGGACCCGGCCTTAGAGCGGGTGGGGAGGGGCCTATGTGGGCGTGGGCGTGGCCTCGGATGGGGCGGGGTCTCACGCGGCGCGGCTCGCGGCTGAGGGCTCAGCCCGGGCGGGCCTCAGATGCGGCGGGGATTGTGGGGCGAGGCCTCAGACGGCGGTGGGTAGGGTCTAGTATGGGGCGGGGCCTTATGCGGGGATGGGGTGGGGCTCCGTGGGGCGGGGCCTTAGTCGAGGATAAGCAAGGCTTCGGACCCGGCGCGGTCTCATGTGGGACGGAGCTCCACCGGGCGGGGGCTCCGCCCGGCGGAGGCTCGGCCTCTGCCCGGTAGCTCCACTCAGACTCCAGCCCGAGGAGGCGGC